AAACTACACAAGATATTAAGTATGATAGTTAATCAAAATATGAGGTAAATAATTTATGCAAACTTTTTGCTCTATTATTTGACATCATCAAAACTAATCATATCTAACAGAAACTAGATTTGTAAAAGAAACCCATGTTCACTACCAAAAAATATGCGATTAGTGACAGAATTTAGTGACATAATTGTACTAGGGACAGAATTAGTGACAAAATTTGTTCCATTACTAAATTTGTTGCTAATTACTAACGGAAGTTTTCTATCACTAATTAGTGACGAAAAATTTCCATCACAAACTAGCAACAGAAAAATTTCATACTTCTCCATGGCTCAAACCAAGGAACTTGTCTATGTGCATGCATGGCTTCACCCGTTAAATTGCAATGAACTTGCTAATTTATTATGCAAAATTAAACACACACACACACAATATTTTTTTACACAAACAATTAGATATACGCATATATATTATTAAAAACTAAAAATAAACCATATGATAATTTTAATCACGACTATTTTTGTGAAAAAATAATTTTTAAATATTTGTTTTACAATTTTTTATTTTTAAAAAAATATTCTTTAATATAATATTAATTTCCAATGATACTAATTTTGAATTTTAAATAGTAAATTATTTTTTCATAAATATATTTTTTAAATTTAATTTTTTAATTAACATTGATAAGATATATAATTTAATTATATATATTATATTGCATTATATTATATTATCTATATGTGTTTTATATATTTAATGAAAACCATTAATAATTAGTAAAAAACCTTGTTATTCAAAAAATAGCTACCATAATAAAATCTAATAGATTATTTTATATGAAAAAATTAAATGATTTGAATGGATTATGATAAACAATATTCTCCTACTTATATATATATATATATATATATTCTATATAATTTATTTTCTTAAAATTCTTTCTATATATCATTTGTTTTTGCGTTAAAGACCAAAATTAATCTATATCATCGGTAGTAATTATATCATGATCAAATTTTATTATTTAATGATTAAATTCAAAATTCACTTCAAAATTAGTTTGATTTATAATAATAAATTAAGGTGTTCATATACATTTATTTTTTAATTTTAAATTTCTATCATATATTACATCTTTCAATTTATTGTACATATAACAGAATTATTTTTTTCTTATATATCAATTTACATAAGAAAGTTATTAATATTCTTATCATACTTGTTTAATTATTATTAATAATCAAGAGGAATTGATTTTAATAAAATATAAACAAATTTTCTAAGAAATTATCTTCCTATTCTCAGTATGTATCTAATGATGAGATAAATTATAATGATATCTTTATTAACACCAACTCTACAAATATATCAATTTATTTTATAATTAAAAATATATTCAAATTTTTATATTCTTAATTATGTTATTATATAAATTGTTGTAAGATTATAATTTAAAATAAGGAAAAATTGCAATTAAAGACCTTAAAATTTGAAAAACACAAATAGGGACCCGTGACAACTTTATTATAGCTTTTGACAATAATAATATGTCATCAAGTTGTCAAAATCCATAGTGAAATTGTCACGGGTCTTTATTTGTGTTTTTCAAATTTTAGGGTCTTTTTTTGCGATTTTCCCTTAAAATAATGAAATTTAAAATTAATGACGGAATTACTGATGAAAATTTGTAGATAAACAATGTAGCAATAGAATTAGCGATGGAATTCCTGTCACTAAAATTTTATAATTAAAATTTGTGACGGAATTTGTGACAAAAATTTTTGAAGGAAAAAATTTCATTGCTAAATATTTACCAACGAATTTTTTAATGGATTAGTGATGGAATTTTTTCCATCGCTAAATTTAGTAACAAAATTTTCATTGGTAATTCACTAGAAATTAGTGATGGAATAATTTTCTGTCACTAATTCCGTTGAAAATAAACTTTTTTTTTTTTGGTAGTGGTTGCAACTAGAAATGGCGTAGGAGATCTGATGGTAAGAGTGTCACACCCGTATTTGAACCAAGAGGGCAGGACCTTTGATCTAAATCATCAAATCTGATTGGTGATCTTGAAGCTCGGAGACAATAACAATGCTTCTGTGGGGAGGAAAGGTTGAACTTGTAGGATTGAGTGTGGGTTGAGAGGGGTGGTAAAAGAAGTTAACTAGGGGGCTGTGATGAAAGTTTGAGAGGAGAAAACAAAATGTTGGATTAAAAAGAATGGAGAGTCATGATAGTGATCCTTGTGCTTCAATGTCACTTTTAAATTTTTTTTATAAAGTTACTACGTCGGTTATTAATATAACCAATGTAGATTTTGAATAATGCTTATCAAGGTGAGAAGCCGTACCAAAGCGATGATCATGGAGAGGAACAATATGATGTTATTTCTTTTGTTTTATTTAGGGGATATGAAATGTTGAGGCTCTCGATTTGGGGCACAAATTTCCTGACTCAATTTGATTTTGATTCACTGGTGCCTTGAGGAAAATTGTTAAAACTTCTTTATGAAACTCGAGGTCTATCCTAGTCACTTTTGACTCTGTTGAAACTCTTGGTCAACTTGAGTCAGTCCTGCATACATTTTTTTGTATACTCTGGACATTAAGTCAGTCCAATAATCATCAAAACATGATGGTCAAAAGAATAGATATATAATTAAAATATTTCTTACAATTTATTGGGTTTTACCATTCCCAATAATTTAATTTTCATTCCTCAAATTCTTCTAAAGGTCTACAGGTTGCGTTTCTTCTTGAATTATTTTTGTACTTCTGGTTCCCATGCACTTAATTAGAGGACTTTTCTCAAGTGCTCTTCTTCTTTCTGTTAAGACATTCTAATCCGATTCTTTTCCTTTCATATTTGCTCTTTCTTTTAGGCTTTCAAAGAATTTTGTTTGAGTAAACTCAAGCTCTATTTCCTTTAATTCTTCATTAGTGTACATATTTTCAGGTAGAATTTCTTCTTGCACCTTTAGGGGTCTCTCCAAGAGGCCTTGAAGATTTAGGGATTCATTATTTTCACAACAACCCTTCTTTGTTGGGAAGATTTCTTCAAAATCCATTTTAGTTCCGATTCTTCTAGAAGTACTGCCTTTTCTTTTTAGAGGAGAGGGAGAATATCTTCTTCTGAATCAAAGATATCTTCATAAGATATAATATCCTTTCTTTTGGTGATTTGAAAGTAGATTTGTAGATTCCTTCCGAAGTATCCAAAATGCTTGTTGCACTCTTGAGATGCTTATTTTCTCGTAGTCTTTTGCGTTTAAGCTTTTATATAGAGGATGTTTATTGTTTGTAAATTCAGCTTCCACAATTTTGGATTGCTTTCTTCTTCCAGCATCTTACCATTGAACCTGTAATCTCTTTCTATGGTCTTCCACATTTCAATAGTTTTACTTATTAATTTAAAATGGTCGCTTGTTTGTATGAACTGAATGTGTTCTAAAGTGTTCATTGATCATTGGTAAGGTAAGGTGTTCATTGTTTCGTTGCAAGAAACATAATGCATGCATTAATTAAGTTAGAATAGATTAGACAATCCATTAGTTTTGCAGCCCCATATGTGGGGAGAGTTCTTTTCCTTACAAGGTACACAATGGCTGAAGTAGAACCTACAGAAAGAAGCCGGAAATGACTTTACGCAAAAAGTCCATTAGGACAACCTACTTGGATATCACTGTTGGGATATCTGGTCGTTGAGGTGCCAGAAACTGTTCGAAGAAGCTGTTAATTCGGAGTATTTAACTTCTCAATTAAGCTTCTTTAGAGTTTGCCCAGACTATGACCTCCGCAGAAGTTGTGAGAGACTAAATGACAAAAACCTTAGGAGGCTAGACTACGAGGATACACTAGAAGATTTTATCAATCTAGAGGTTGATGGCTCAATTTTAGAAAATGGTAAGAGTGGATGTGGAGGAGTAATCAGAAGCAAGGGTGGGGATTGGATCATGGGATTTAGTTGTAAAGTCTCTAAAGTTCCCCCAGTCACTGCAGAACTCATCGGTATCACTCAGGGATTGTATCTCAGCTAGGCTAGGGGATTCAAAAAGGTCCACCTCATGTCTGACTATTTGGAGGTACTTAATATTGCGACTACGGGTTATGATAGAAGTTACCCTTTTTATGATGTTATGATGTGGTAGAAGAGACTATGCAGAAATTGGCAAGTAGTTGTTAACTATCAAGACCGAGAGGAGATGTCCAGTGCATATCAGTTGGCTAAATTGGCCCATGGGATGTTAGGAAGCTACAAAATCTTTGATCAACCACCATGTCTAAACCTGCGGGGAGATGGGGGATGATGAGAGGGCTATCTTGATTAGCCTTTGTTTTGATTTAGTGTATTTTGTAATTAATATATTGAATTCAGTTTCTTTCAAAAAAAGTTGTGGAACCTAGAGATCAAATTTAAATTAAAAAAATTAATGATGAAAAAAAAAATTTATAGCAAATTTACAAATTATAGCCAAGAAAAAAAAATCAATGTACTAAAATATACTTTTTAGTGGTCGATTGGACTTTAAAAAATAAAAATAAAAATCTAAAAAAAATAAAAAATCATAAACTAATTTTATCTTAAAAAATCTTTATGTTTGCCTTTTATTACTTTGTTGATATTAAATCTAAAATTTCAACTAGTTCATTGATCCAACACGATGCATCAAATTGAATTCTTTTGTCTTCTTCGGTAAACATTTCAAAGACAATGCTTATGATGCAACTGTTAAGGTACAGTATTTGCATCATATTAAATAATACTATTTCATTATTTTCTTCAAATATTGATGCAAACGTACATAGTCCCAACCTCGTTACTGCTCTTGTCAATTCAAGAGGCCCCATGCCCATGCCCCCATGCATCCCCCATATATTAGTATAGCATTGTGGTCCACAGAGGGCATCATAATATCTACTGATTATTCATTCATTATTTTTTTTATCTACTTAATTCATACTCTTATTTTCTTTAAATTGGAGGGGTAGACACAAGCAGCATGAAATCAAGCAAGCCACTAACTACTTATACAAAAAGAAGTTTCATATTATTAGATTACAACGCCATATATAGGCAACAACTTCATTATATTCTTCAAACATCAATGAATCTAGAAATTACCTCAATGTTTCTACCTTCAAAGAATTCCAATTCCCCAAGAGCCACCTTCCTTATCTCTTCCAATTCTTTCTTTAACCCTTTCTCTGCATTTTCAGCACCACGCATCATCCCCTGCATCATCCCCACATAAAGCCCATAGTTCCTCAGTTTCTCTATTTCCTCCTCGCTCCCATCCCCCAGCACTGCCCCACACGCAGCTCCACACGCGTGCATCCCACCTTCGCCCTTCTCTACCTCTGCCTTTATATTCGCTTCCCCGTCTAATTGAGTTCTCACGAATTTACGGTATTGCCCTTCCACCAAGCCTTCTGATCCCACCGCACGTGAGATCTCCACCATCACGCGTAGGATCCGATCTGAATCGACTCGGGTCGGGACGTCGGATCTGGCCAAGAGTTCAAACGCGAGTGGTATCATTCCATCTCCTGTAAGAAGCTCTATGTTCGGATCGTACTCATGGTGGCCCCTGGCCTTGGGCCTAGGCCGATCTGTTAATGGGAGGTGTTCGTGAGTATAGGCGACTGCTTGCATGAGTAGCAGAGCTGAAGCCGCGGGTAAGGCCCGGTCCTGATGGCCGCCGACAAGCTCGCAAGCTGCCACACAGAGGGCCGGCACGGTGGTTCGTGGGGCGGTGAAGGCCAAATGGTGCATGGGCTCAAATACCACGAGAGGTTCTTTCATGGGAATAGCCTGCTTGAGATGCGCTTCAATGTCTGCCTGCAGAGAAGCCCAGGAAGAAGAGTGGGCACGCGTGATTTGCGCCGCCGTGGTGAGCTTCGACGGCAAGGGAGAGCGGCGGAGATCTGATCTGCTTGATAATTGAACGGTGGAGTTTCCACAGGGTTGGAAAAGAGCTCCGACCATGGTGGTAGCTCTGTGCAGATGCTGAAAGAAAAGAAAATAGGAAGTACAAAGACGAAGCAGATAGGGAATGAGGAAAGACTTGGAACCGCACAGCAATGATAGAGGATGGTTTGCTTTTCTAACATTACATTAACTACGCTCCTAACTATAACATCTCGTGGACTATAACGAGGTCTTGTTTTAAGAAGGTAGTACTATTTTATTATTATTTATAAGTGACTTCTAATACATGATTAACTTTTATTTAAAATTTAATAACTTTTTAATTTTATTTTTAATTTATTTATTATACAATATATTTCATCTAAATAAAATTAACACAATAATAAATAAAAATGATATATTAATACAAAAAAATTTTCTTAGTTCTCTGCAAATAGAATAAAAAAAGTCTCCTTTCTTAGCTTGTCTTTGCCGGCCAACGATGTGCTGTGTTGGGTGTATATTTTATTTACGTAACCAATGATGCCAATTAATGTGTTACACGAGTCTAGTATGGAATTACGCGAATGTCCTAGTAATGTTTTAAATGTGTTAAGTATACTTTAGTTTATTATCAGTTCGTGATATCACATGTGTTTGCCAGCTAAGTATCCGATTTTTTCTCGGTCCATATTGAGATATTAATTGAAATGTTTTTTTAATATTTAAAATAAATTACTTGTATCAAGCACACTAAAATTTTTTTTCAGTAGCACTATATATTTTAAATTAATTTTTTATGCCATCCTACCGTGCTTTTTTTTTTTTTAATGCATTGTCCATATCCTAAACTTAGGATACTCACTGTTACTGAAAAATTATTTAGGATGTTAAATGCACAAAAAAGTTAATTTAGGATGCTGACATTATTAGAAAGATATTTCAGAATATTAGATACATCTTAGTCATATTTAAATTTCACATAACAAGTTACGAAATTCTGGGGTAAAAGTACAACTTCCTCTTGATTTTTTTTTTAGGGGCAAAAAAGGCTAATTTTTCTTTTTAAACAAAAGTCTAACGAAATAGGAAACAAACAAAAAGTATGAAATAAACCACAAACACTGAAAGAAAGATCATTCATTAAAAAAAAATATGGACAAAATTGCATCCTAAAAAAATTGGGATGTTAAATGCACTTGAAAAGTAAAAATAGAGATAAAATTGCACATTTATTCCAAAGTTTATAAAAGATTATATTTTTTTGCAGAGATAAAAGATTATATAACTTATAAAAAAAGAAAATTTTATTATGTATATATTGTATATTAACATACATAAATTTACTATTATATTTGTATCTGTATGTTTTGATAAAAACTACATATTTTTGTTATATGCAAGGGCCAAGGTCTGCACTTCATGTTACAAGTTGTGTGGCCCACATTCGGTACAGTGTGACTCAGACATCAAACTCTTCGGTGGCCCATTGTCCATGCCCTACGCGTGTTAAATTTCATAAAAATAAGTCAACAAATCATATGAGGTGTCAATGTGTGTTGTGGACATTTTACGGGGGCAATTTTAATATCTTTAATTGTCATTTTCCCCATAATTATGGTATATTCTGTTATATGTCATTCACTCAAAAGAAAATGTTTCTCCTTTATTTGGTATATTCCATTATATGTCCTCAATGGGCTTCTATTTCGGAAATTTAAAATTAAACAAATTTCAAGGTAAAAGGAAACGGAAATTAAACCAACAAATCAAGCTGGTCCTATTATTTCCTTAAAAAGAAAACTAGAAGAAAAACTGAGGAATATATTTGAATTACGATTTTAGTATGTAAATTTTTATATATGCGTTGAAAGCATCTAAAATTAACAGCCCCATAAAGTCTGAACTGCAATTATGGTATACGAGATTAATATACATTTATCTTAATGTTTTATAAAAAATTTATTATTTTTAATCAAAAGGAGGGAATTAATCTATAAGTACCTATGATTTTACCCTAATTTTTTTTTGGGTAACATTTTACCCTAACTTTTAATCAAATCATAGTAATTTTTTCTACTTATACTATTTTGGCAACTTTTATTTAATATTGAGATTTGTTTAGAGTTCCTCCTCTAATTCTGCATCAATAACTTGGCATCAAAACCCACTCCACCTTCTTCTTGCTACCTAGAAGTGTCTTGATATGTCCATAACTTTGATGATAGCAAAACCGAAGATTATGATTTAACACAAACTTATCATTCAATTGGTGAAAATGCCCCTAATAGTTAAGACTAAGCTTAATAATTTTATCTCTATTGTCTTTGTTTGTAATGGCAATTTTTGGAAGTAACTTACTCTGGTGCAAAGCATCATTTTAACTTATATCACCCTTTCTACATTACATTGGTTGTCAAAGAGATGGTATAAAAAGTGTGACCCGTGACATTTTCATAAATAAGTAGTAAGGATATTAGTTTTTTCACATTAGCTGCTTAATTAATTGCGTATAAAACATTTTCTACATTAGTTTAAACAGTTGTCGATGTAGAAACTAATTGAATTTTACAAGAAATCTTGCTCATTAGTAAAATCTTGTTCATTTATTTTAGCATGTGGAAACAATTGGTGCATAAAGGTGAAGAAAAGTTTTCAAAAAAATTTAATTACTTTCTATACCACTGTTATTCTAACCGGTAAAAAAAGTGCTTTTCTATTTTATTTTTTAATAAACTAATACACCAGAGATGCTTGAGAACAATTAGCGTCGAAAGTCATCTATTTTCCTTTCATACCATCTCATTGATGAGGAAGGTTGCCTTGCACCCAAATTAAACTTAATTAACCACTAGTAGTACAATAGCCAACCTAGGTCGTATTTAGTTGCTCGACTTGATGCTAATGGACCTTAATTGAGTTCATACAGCAAGAAAACAAACTAAAATGGTGGGATTTGATTTTACTAAACTAAATTAAAATGAAATCTAATTAATTTTTTAAATTTATTTTAACTTAAGAGAATGAAAATACAAAGAGATAAATTACATATGACAAGACACTTCAAACCTGTCGGCAGTGGCACCTAACTAGTTAATCTGAGTCACGTTTGTGGACACTGTCATGAGCGCAACTATCAACAAATAAAGATGTGTAGCACTCCCTAGGATTGAATGGATAGTGGAAGAACAAGGTGAGGAAGTGAGCCTACTCCTCCTCCTCCTCTTGGCCCATTATACTATCCCAAGATCACTTGTTATTACTTGAAACCCACAATCCCAAGTAATGGGGAATTCTTCCTTTGACACATTGACATTTCCTTGTTTTTGCATGTTTATTTACGGTTTGAGTGAGCATTTTATTGTGTTTTATAGATTTTAATTACATTAATTTAGTTAGCAGCTTTGAGTAACTATGTGAATTTGGTTTATCCAATGGTGAGTTGGTCATAATTTTGTGATTACTCTTTTAGTTGTTAATTACTTTTCTTTTGAAGATTCTAGATATTGCAGTGTGTTAATTTTCATAATAGATCATTTGGAAAGTCAAAGTTGAAATGGCAACAAAGGACCCAAGGCATTGTTGTTTGAGGACCAGCAAGGATTTCAGAAATGATGAAAAATGACTACAGAATTAAAACATACATCTTCATTAAATTGTGTCATTCACCGTGGCAAATGGACTTATTCGCCTGTAACATCTATTTTCTTTTTCCCTTTTTCCACTGTTCATCGTGGTGATTAACCTCAAACACACTGTTTCACTTACATGCGTTCACCAGGGCAATGTGCCATGCTCGCTACAATGAACGACCAGAAATTTTAAACAAGAGCCCTCTTGCATGATGCCCTCACTTTTGGAATTATTAAAAAGGAAGGGTTATTCTCTGCTAGGATAAAATTAGAGCACCCTCTTGAAGATTTTTGGGAATTCTAAAGGTGACGTAATCCCCATTGGGCTTCTCATCTAGCTAGATTTTGGATATCGTTTTACAAATCTTTTTTCGGTTCAGTAATATAGTTATATAAAATTATTGCAGATCAACTTTTGGCATCTGTGGGACTCTCGAGGGACGCTTTAATGACCTCTGTGATAGATTTTGGAGATCAAACAAAATGGATTCTTACTCTTTTCTCCTGCTAGTTCCTCTATGAGGATGTATAAATAGGTTTTGGATAACCTGGAGTAGGGAAATTGATAAAGAACTCAGTAAAGACCTCTTTGGAAAGTTGAAATTGGCCTGGCGCGATTGTTTGTGTCAACGGAATTAATGTCTGAAACCCTAGGACTAGATAGAGATCAAAAAACAAAAAACTTTGGACTTTTAGATAGGTGAAAGGCGTTCACATAGTGTTCGCCCATTCATCGCAGCAAAATATCGCATGGCTTGTCACATCCTAAATTTTAGACCTAGAAGTACCTAAAATAGTCTAAAATGGGCAAGCTACTTGACCCCAATTGGCAGGAGTTCCAAAAGTTGCCTAAAAGAATAAGAGGATTTTTAGAGACTACATTGCAAAATAAAAGTTTTTTGGGACTGAGGAACGAGGAAGATAGAGACTCCAATAAAGTCTCAAGGGTCGAGTATGGAAAATTGAGATGAAGGAAGGCTAAAAGTTATGCTAGAAATCTCAATAAGATGATTCCTGAGATTAAACTCGAGTAGGAACTAAATCGCAAATTCGAAAGATCTTGGGTCAAAAAAAGGGAACAATGAAAAGTATGCCTGAAAATTTTAAAAAATTTCAAAAAAAAAAAAAAGAGAAATGATGTCTTGAAGCCCATTTGAGGTTAAAAATGATGAAAGTATCTAGGGGAGAATTTATGAAATTCTTAGGATTTTAGCTAATTATGTGTTACTAGATGAAATTAATTATTTAAAATATGAGGAGGTTACAAATAATTGGAGAAAATGGGAATAAATATTTGAGGAATTATTGGAGGTTTTAAAAATGATTTCATCCCCAAAATACGAAGAGGTAGGTTTTAAAAGAATTTAAAACCTATTTATGTCTTGTTTGGGGAGATTCAAAATAGAATGCTTACAGGCTAAGTTTTGGCCTGGAAAAACTTAGAGAATTTTCCTCTAATAAAAAAAGATTACTAGAGCCAAGGGACAAATTTTAGAAGTTATAGACTAGTAAGAAAAATTTGGTCAAGATTACTCCTAAATAAAATTATTAGTTTTTAATGGGAGACAGAGAAAAATATTTC